TTAACTAATAGAGCGTAATAGCGGCGCATTTTACAGCGGCAGAAAATGATAGTTGACTTCAAAAAGATACTTTGCAAGTTTAACATCAAAAGCATGACCGTGTACGAGAGAGAAGCCATTACAGCGGTAATTTGAGTGAAAGGATATGTTTATACAAACACGGATCGGCAGTGGAAAATTGCTTATTTATGAGTCTATTCCAGTTGTGTGCTTCCCATTGTCTCCATTTTGTAGGAACTATGATCAAATTGAACAAGCTGATTTTGACTGGGTGCAGTGGCTTGCTGCCGCATCCTATTAAATTCACCAACCCGAAACAAAGGAAAATCTTATAGATTCAAAAAGTTGTAGATATCATTAACATATAGGGACATTGGTTCGCGATTATGTCATTGTCTTGGCAGTCTAACACTGATCATTAAAAGCTAATATGTTTAAATGTCATTTTCAGTGCAAACCGAACTTTTATGCATTCTAATAATGAGGTAATTTTCATTGGATGTTTATGCTCAGACAATGATTTCACAATACGCTCTTTTGTCCACCTTCGTGTTTCATTCTAGGATGGAATAACAGTAACCATTTGCATTCGTGTTCAGTGGCATCACTAGAAGGGTGCGGGGGTAGCGTGAAGACCGCACTGGGTAACACCATCAGAGGGGATGTTGAGGTTTGGGTTGTTTGGTTCGGCGGATGTCATTTTCAGTGCAAACCGAACTTTTATGCATTCTAATAATGAGGTAATTTTCCTTGGATATTTATGCTCAGACAATGATTTCACAATACGCTCTTTTGTCCACCTTCGTGTTTCATTCTAGGATGGAATAATAGTAACCATTTGCATTCGTGTTCAGTGGCATCACTAGAAGGGTGCGGGGGTAGCGTGAAGACCGCACTGGGTAACACCATCAGAGGGGATGTTGAGGTTTGGGTTGTTTGGTTCGGCGGATTGTTCCTTCTTACAAGGTGTCCGCTTTATTGGGTTAGCGTTATTTAGAGGTTGATCGCCTCGTTGTTATTGCTCGGATCGAGTAAATATTAATATCAAGTGTGAAACTTATAGGTGGAATAAATGGAAATCTTAGCAGATATATAAAGAGAATGTCACGAGCCCCCGTACATGAAAAAGACAACAATTTAATAAATTACGTAAACAATTGTGATAATATGTTACATTATGAAGATGCACTTCTTTTTAAATAAATCATTCACCGAATTTCAATACAAATATGCTTATATAAATAGCCGATATGTTTTAAATGATAGAATTGGTTCATCATTCCAACTTTGCTGTGGCTGTTCTTCTTGGTCCTTTCGGCTGGTCTTTTCTTTTTCTTCTCCAAACTCTCTCTTGTCTCGCTTCTTTCGGCTTTCGAACTTTGTGTAGATTGGTGGATACGTAAGTACGTATATGCGATGATACTTCGATAATTATGTACATGGATACGTCAGAGCGTAGATATTTAAATAAGTAGGTACGTGGATACGTCAGTGGAACTATTCCCTCCCCCCTCTTCAAAATAAACAGAGATGCAACATAAATCTGCGGTCAAATATCCTACTGGGAATAGAACATTACTCCCCTCTCGTTATGTCTGATATAGTCCTATCTGAGTGGTCAAGCATGACAGACCATAAACAAACCTAGTTTCATAAGATTGATGTACTTCCTAACGGCTATTTCAACATTGGCTCACATTAACATCACACGAGACATTACAGTTCCCTTCTCGTTTCAATTATATAAATGAATGAATGAAATTCATTACATGGCTTAACTACGTTGTTTCCAGTAAATACACACATTCAAGTCTTTACCCTACATGAACTCTCGTTTCATGGTTTAAAAACGTTAATTTCAGTCAATACTCGCTCAAGTCTTTATCATACGTGAAATCATATAAGGTCGGTGAATTCACATGGATTCTCGTAACTCATATCAGTTAAGGTAAGGCATGAAATTCTTAGACTACCTAATTTCTTATAACAATCAAGAGGACAAATTCAAACAATTCATCAAACTTTATAAAGAAGATCATTGTACGGATTCATTTAGATAAACTCACCACAGCTGTAATCATGTAAAGAAAATTGATATAGAAATTATAACAAATAAATCCAAGCAAATCGTTATATGGGTATCAACGGTTTACATGAGATTGACATAAATACCTTGTACTCTTTCAAACTTTGCTCGCTTCTACCGCCAGAATTGTGTTCGTCGATTTTCCAGGCATCATTGCATAATTGTTTTGCGAGAGAATTTCTTCTAAATGTAAACTCTTAGTCTCCTATACTTTTCTCTTGCACAAAAAAATAGACTGGATAAATCTTTGCGAAGGGGCATATTAAAACCAAGAAATTTCGTATGGGTAATCAATCCGGATTAAATATATCACCAACCTTTTCCATAACTGGGCACCAAATTTACGGCCCGCCTGACCAAATAACTGATCATGGACAATATCAATTTAGACGTTTCCGAAACAACGCTCGTAGTTAACCCTTTTCCTTCCTGTCTGTTTGATTGCTAAATAAACGAAAGCTTAATTAAGAATCACTTCCTTTTCGCGACACAGACCTTAAAATCCTTGCAGTATAGCAATTTAACACGCAACACAATCTAATTAATCGTTCACCTGCCCAAATTAATGTGCTCTTTATAAAACGACGGAAGTTTGCACGTTACAAGGGGTGAGACCAAAATGACTGTCTTTAAAATTTTTGAATTTTTGTGCAGGAAGGAGGTCTATTGGAGTGACACCATGAGTAATCGCAATGGGTGACACCAACCCTAGTGACGCCAATGTCCGTGTTGAATAGGAAAATTTCACCTTCGGGATCAGAATTGTGCGTCCGACACTCGGCAAAGTTTCGTGTCGGGCGTAAAATTTGTATCTTTGGTTGGACGTTTCTAATCACTGATGCATATGAAAAATTCTGCAATGCCCATCAGAGGGTGAGAAACAGTGCGTTCTAATTGAGGCTTCGGCTGGTGCCTGGTGTGTAATTCTGACTATGAGGGTGGAATTTTATCCAAATTCGATGCATAACGAAATTTTTTCACATTTTTGAATAAAAATGATTTCCAAAATCAGAATGTAGATTATGCAAACTGGTTCACATGAAAATTGTGCAAATGTCAGCGACTGAAATTGCACGACCTGTGTCTGTTCTACATTCATGATCACCCTTACAGTACATATTGCTCTTTACGACAAATACGACCAAGAATGTTTGGGTCTATTGCCAAAATGACTGTAAACCCATGATCACATAACTCACATTTGAAAACAATAATCTTTACGAGTCTTGAGTCAGTAATGTCTTCTAAGTTTAGGGTTATTCCTCAGAGGTACGGAATCATATTCCTAACAAGATGTTCTGCCGCGCCCCTCTAGCAAATCTTGAATCTGGTGATACCTTTTTGAATTAAAACCAATGCAGTTTGATGAGAACTCTGCCTTCTCCACACCCACCCCATCCCCACGTCATGCAAGTTGCGTTGTTTGTTTGGGGGTTGCTAAGCTATTATGTAGAATTTAGTTGCGCACACAAGTTATTATACACAACGTTTGCAGTTAGCGCTAAAGGGGTCGAAACCGAAACTCCCCTAAAATAGATCAAAGTGCGATTCCACGATATGTGTATGTTGATAAAGTATAAAAGTATCTAAATATAAAGTCTGAACGCAGTTTATAAATACGCGGATGTAGTTTACACACACAAGAATTTTAGGACGTACGTTATATACGTAAATAAGGGACAAATGGACATGGCTTTATTTTTAGAAGGTAAACACAAACTAGTTTTTAAGAACTAAGCTACCTTGAGGCTGTCTGTTATCTACATATTGACATAATGCTCTCTCTCTCTCTCTCTCTCTCTCTCTCTCTCTCTCTCTCTCTCTCTCTCTCTCTCTCTCTCTCTCTCTCTCTCTCTCTCTCTCTCGTACATTTTCTTTAGCTAAATTAAAAGCAATACTCCTAGTTAACGCAAGCATTTCGGGGTAGATTTGTCTTTCACATGGTAATAAGCAAAACTAAAAATTTACTATCTACATTTGTTACTGTCCATACTATGTTAAGATGTGTGTATTAGACAATGCTCAAATTGTGTTATTTACAATATTAGTTATACAATAAAGTTAAACATGAGCTAATGAAAGTGGCGGTGATAATATAAAATGATGGTACAAGTCACTACTAAATATTAAGCTAAACTTTTCATGCAAATTTATCAGATAACATAGAACTTAATTTATTGTGAATTATTATCTTATTTCATTTGGAAAACTATTTCAAATGTGTGAACCTGAGTAATAAAAACTATTTTTTTAAAAAATTCTTTGCTCGGTGTCGGAACAAGAAAATTGCTTGACGAAATAGACTTTGAATTAGGCGTATTACTGACTTGCCTTGCTCTCTAACAATATTGCACACACTGTTGTGTTACTTAAAATTTTAATAAACAAGTTAAAATTTTGTGAAGAAGATTGTTTCGTTAACTATTATAATTTAATTTCATGTTTTCAGTGTTACCGATAATGATAAGTTCATATGCTACTGTCTTATTCATGGAATAAATTATATGTGTTCGTGTCATGCGAGTTTCCCCAGATATAGAGGTAATAATCATTATATGGCTAAATACAGCTTTTCTAGTACATTGTTTAGTGTTTCATTGATAACTATGGTTTAATTGTATATAACAACAACAGCAGCGACAACTACAGAATTTCTATGGACAGCCTTGATATGATCTCTCTGTTGCAACTGTTGTCGGATCACTGCCATCTCACCTCTGTCTGCATGGGTTCGAGTCTAGGATTCGGCGAATGTGGATATGTGAGAAAGCTTGCCAGTAGCTTCTCGTGGGTCGGTGGTTCTTTCCGGTGATTTCCCGGTTTCTTCCTCCACCAGTAATACTGGCCGCCATGAATAGCCTATCGTGTGCTGAAAATGGCGTTAAGCCCAACAACAACAGCAACTGTTGTCGACAGCTCAGGTAGCCTAAGGGTTGGAGCGTCCACCTCGGATGCGGGAGGTCGCAGGTTCAAAACCCGGCCGGAGGTACTAAAGACTTATAAAATGGTAATAGCGGCTGCATCGCTTGACTCTCAGCATTAAGAGGTTAGTGTTGGGACTGGTCGGCCAAGTGTCAGGATAATGTGACTGGGTGGACATCATGCTATATGTCTGCAGCATGATGCCCTAGTGCTAGACATTACTATAAACTGCCACACTGCAGACATTGTAGCGATATGACTAAAACTGTTAAAGATACGTTTAAAATCCAAAACACACACACACACACTTGTTGTTAAAAATATTCCAGAAAATATATCTCGGGTTGCAATTTTTATTTTCTTATATTTCAGTTTATAAGACTTAATGTATCTTTTCATAGGGATGCTCTTCTTTGTTTAGTGCTAATCATCAACGCGTTGTTTTTGTTTGGATTTTTAGTTGTTGTCTTTTTTATTCTTCTTTATCTGTCTTTATGCCATTTTCCGTATACCTGGAATTACACTTATCCAGAAACAGTTCTAAAGATAATTTAATGTTCATCTTGAACCAGAGCAATATGTTCAAGTCCCCGCCCCCAGGCGGCCCCCACACGGAGTGAAACACGGTAAATTCTACCTGCCGAACGCTTGCGGATTTTTGGGGGGCTTGGAAACAGGAGTAATGTGTGTGCCAATATCTTAATGATGCTCGGGGCCTCATATCCTCTGCACATTGCTGATGATCAGTGGATTAAATGCAGTTGCCAGTTTTCAAAGCCAGATCAGTAATGAATGAGTTATACTCCCCGTTGACATTAATAGCCCATTTCATACCGGATTTAACCGAGTTTCTCCGTAATTATCCGAAAACCTCCGGAGTCACTTTATACTCCAGGCAATCAAACGCTGGTAGGCATCTGTACATAACAAAATGGTATAATTGTTGTTTAGACGTATCAGATTAAAACAAATTAAGAAATGCCCGCTACCTGCCCGCTAAATGCCTGGGACTTCTGCTGCTTAATCGTTCGAAAAATATTCCTGGTTTTTTATACTGCGGATTAATACGAAAAATCCCTTTTATTGGTAAACGAAACTCGATTTTTGAAATGCGGTTTTATGGTAAAAAAGGGATAAAATTTGTAACATCGACACCGTTTCCATACTCGCATGTGCATATCCAGATGTAAAAACAGCTCATAGCTACTCTCTCGTATGGCTATAAAATCCAGAAAACAATACAGGATGGTTCCAATATTAAATTTCGTCAATATCCATGGCATCATCGCTGTTGAATAGGCATTTTTCAACTCTATAAACGAAGCTGAAGAAGTTTAACAGTTGATTCTAATGCTGAATTGTCCGCCTTGTTTTGACCACTGGTCTGGTCGCCTGCTTAGTATGCTTCCTGCGATGCACTTCTCTATACTATACTAGGGAGCATACTAAGCAGGGGACCAGACTATTTGCGTACCAGCTATCGATTGGATATTGCGGTCAGTTGACCACCCGCCACGTGATCAAAATTCCGAGCAAATTACGAAGTTCGCCGAAGTCTCCATGAAATGGTCTATACCCTTTGCAGGAATGTGGATTTTGGGATGTCACTCTTTAACGCATACCCAGTGGTCAGTGTCAAGAAGGAAGCAGTAGAAACAAGGACGGTGTGGATGAGTATAATCGCAGAATAGCAGTTTTACTTGTTAGCCGCAGCTTGTCGTAGATAACCTAAACTTGTCTGAGATCTGTTCTCTATACGCAGTGATGGCCACACTTTCCTTGGATCGAATATATGAATCTATGAAAACATCACTTTTACCCTTCCTCTGAAATCCCATATTATTTTTAGGAAGCTTCAGAAGTCAGGTGACTTGCGTAACTTGCTCAGAATTATTAAGTTAATGGTTATTATATTGCGCTGTTATCCCTGTGTCAGCTGCCTTGGGGTGTCGCAGAGTCAGAGACCTTCGATACCTTCGATATGTATGCGTCTTTCATGTGTTAATGTGCTTTTCAACGCCAATCAACCAAATAATCAAATAGAAAGGCTACATTACATGTACATGTAAATATTTAACCACATTAGTAGACACCTCACAACATCTACTAGTAACTAGTAGCTCATAGTAACAAAAGTTTTAGAAAAGGGGAAACCGAATTACAGCTAGATACTTCCAAGTAGTACAGTGTTCCTGATATTCTCTTACTATCATGAATATTTAGAATTATCATAAAATGTTAATGTGAATAAAATATAAAATACATTTCAAGTTATCGCGAACAAACCATATTATGACGCAAGGACGATATTAGCCGTCAAGGATGAATGCTCATATTTTTTGACTTAGTATTTATACGATATAATCTGTTTCAAAATGTAGCTAAAATATTTCTACAGATTTCATTTGTGAACGTTCAAGAAAACCGGGATATCTAAAATTTATCAAATTTAGGAGAATAATACATCTGTTGCATTATTATGCCTTCATAGGAAGGCAGTGTTGTATTTTGAAACAAATCATAATTTTTCCCCTTGTGAACGAAGATAAATATCAGCTCCGTGTCTCGATACTTTGATTGCGTCAGATATTATTTGTTTGAAGACACTGTTACTTAATCGTTGATGTTAATGTAGATGGCATTCATGTTTTATGTGAAAGCTGTTTTTCTGCTTTAAATATTTCGCTCATGATCAAAGCCTTATCCAACAGAAAACAAGTGTGTAACTACCAATTAACTTCCTCTATATAGAGACAAATAATTGAATAATGATGTAAAATTTGGGAAAATAATTTCTGTAGAATAATTCCACAATGAATTATGTCGTGGTCAACTTGACAATTAACCATTAAGATTGACGCATGGGTTGGACTCGCCATAAATTATTGAATGCGATTAATTGAATCTGTTGTTTGGGGCATGAATCGAATTTTAAATAGGACTCGCTCGGTTAGCGGTCGAAGACATATAGAGTGCAATTTTGACGCAAGGTCAATAGCGGTAAATGTCAAGAGCTGAAGCGAACCAGGGCAAATTTTAGGAAGTCTTGATTCATTTGAAACAGATGTCATGAAATTATATTTTCCAGAATAGTTATCAATAAAGACGGTCAAAAGAGGATTAATCTGGAAGTGATAAAAATGTTGACGGGTAAAGAAGTAAAACTCATTGGCTAAGCTAAACGGGGTAGAACGAACCATAATTTATCTCTGGGAAATATGATTTCTCTTTAAATTGAACAAGGACGCTTGTCGGAAAATGAGGGACACTAATGGAGAGAGAGAGAGAGAGAGAGAGAGAGAGAGAGAGAGAGAGAGAGAGAGAGAGAGAGAGAGAGAGAGAGAGAGAGAGAGAGAGAGAGAGAGAGAGATTCGACTTCGTAGGGAGTGCGAGTGTCCAATAAAGTACCAGGTTAGTCTTAATTGTATACAATGTGAATTCACTAATATAAGTTTGTAATTGTTTGTTGAATTCATTTTAAATTCATTAAAAAAAATTCTTGAGTTCAGAAGTTAACTACTTGCATGAATTTGTCTCAAATATTGTGACTTGTGTATTATATGAACGAGATCGGATTTGTTTCGTATGTAATAGAAATCATGCTTTGGAAATTGGTCATTGAGAATTGATTTTTTTATATCTGAAATCCAGTAATTAGCGTGTTATTAAGTTGTGAATTCTCTTCAACCGAGAATAGAAAAGCGTGTGCTGACTGGCTTAGTTCAACCAGTAATGTATAGTCACAACGGTGCAATAATAGCATTGTAGTGGACTAATTATCTCATGATCTCAGTAGGAACATAATTCATCGCTAACTCATATCTTTGATATAGATTATATATTAAGATAATTCTTATTTGCAGGTACACGTGTTTATTTGAATCTGAATTGAGGACATTGCCATTCACCTCGGAAAAACATGATCTACATCCCCTTTACCATGTTACTTGCTAAAACGACCTGCCTTTTCTTAGAAATTTGATTTAAATTTTCAGAAGGTATTTTCAGAAAATGGTTATTGCGACCTAGGTCAAATGGTGAGATATATTAAATTGTGTACTTTTGAATTATTATTCCTAAACTTAACATCAATCTTTAAGGAATCAATTTTAGTTGTGTTTGGATGATATGATTCTAATTATTTATTTAAATAATCATCAGAATTACAAAGTGCTAATTGTTTCAGGACTAAATCACTTTCTTGGAATTAGTGTACTTCATTCAAAGAAATTTGGATTATAGCATTGTGATACATCAAGACTGTTGACACATTAGCACATTCGATACTACTAACACATCTGCACATTCAGCATCGGAATTCTTTCGGATCACCACTGGAATTGATTATTCTATACTTTTGGACGTGTGGTAGAATCTTTTAAGACTACTTGGGATTTCATTCACAAATACAGTATGTTCTTTTAAAGTTTTCACTTTGTACTCGAGAGAAAACTTATTTAATGAATTTTAATAAACATTTTGTTGTCTCTCTTTTTCTGTTACTTTGTTTAAGATAATAAAGTCGTAACAATATGTAATATAAATAAGAAAATACGGGATAGAGGAGAAACTGAAAATCCGATAGAGAACACGGAGAAACGGAGTACCAAACATCACAAATCCAAACTATAAGTTTACTTTGCCTTTAAAACATTCAATGTGATAATAGCAGGTTTTTTATAGATATAAATAATTTGATATATTGCAATTTATGTTGTTGTTGTGGGGCTTAACGCCAGTTTTTTAACACACGATAGGCTATACATGGCGGCCAATATTAAAGGTTGAAGAAGAAACCAGGAAATCCCAGGAAAGAACCACCGACCCACGAGAAGCTACTGGCAAGCTTTCTCACAATTTATGTATCCAAATGGTCGATATTAGTTGAAATGTAAAAATAGCATGCATAAATATCGAGACATATTCTGTTTCTAATTTCTTCATAATTTTGCTAACAAATATGCTTTGGTTTTTCACTATTATTTTAATTGTGTTTGCCAATTAACTGCTGCTATTTCAAAATGTTCGGACATTTAAAAATATCACTCAAGGAGATAAATGGAATTT